TCAGTTGCTGAGGAGCAAACAGTGGATATGTGGAAGTATATCTAAGAGCAAGACCAGTTTTCAAAAGTATCTAATTATCTTGTAGTGGGAAAGGATCCCAGACAAGATATACCTTGCTTTTCAAGTATTCTCATTTTTATTCCTGGGAATGCAGTCTAAAAGCTTGATGTTAAATAAGCAGAATCCCAAATCTTTCCAATAGCAGGCTATCCCCAAAGATGTTTGATTCATGTTCAAAAAGCAGCACATCAAATAATAATGCAATTAGGAGGGGTTGTTTTTAGCATGAATGTGTTTTACCAGTCTGAAAAGATTTATGCTTGCTAATCTCCCTGTTCATTCTTCTGTATTGGGCTGTAGACTTCTGCCATCGTCTTACCTCTGATGGCACTCCTGGGGTATAAAATGTGTGGATGTATGAAGTCACCCTAGTTAACGATACAGTGTTATTTCATCCAGGAATAGACCATTATCAACGAAGTAGCATTTAGTCACACAAGTGTATTCCAGGAACTACAGTTTGGGGGGTGGGGGTTATTGTGGGAAAAAAAGAAACATTTTCTTGCCTGTACAATATTTAAAAATTGTCCAAAGGAGCAATGTGTTTATTGTGATGCTTGCGAGTTGAATACATTGGCCTTGGTAACAATTTCAAACCCTGAAATTGGGTTTTAGATCCCAATTCACAGTGGCAAATCTGGGAATGAAGCTGGATGAAGCCTCACTAATGTGCTCCAGATGAGGAAGTCAGGGAAATGTACTGCATAGCATATGGTTGTCTACTTTTCCTTTGTGACTTCCACATATTCCAGCAAGCACTGGATCATGTTGTAGAAATTCTTGTTCACATATAGTTTTAGGAAGTGAGGTTTATACAAATTGTAGCCTCACATCTATAGTAATCTCATACCTTCCTCAGATTCCTACCCAAAATTGCCTGGGGGTTGTAATTTTGAATGTGACAGAAGGGAAAAATAATTATATATATATGAAGCAACTGTATTAATTCCAATTACTTAACTGTCTTTTTTGTATTACATTTAAACATATATTACTTTAGTTAATCAATTAAATTCAAACAAATGTGGTGTTTATCCTGCCCCTGCCCCTTCGTCCCAGATTTCTGTGACTCGTCACAGAAAGACCTACTCCAATCCAGTTCTTGATGCTCTGAAAACTATAGCATTTGCCATTTTGAAAATTGGTTAATGCTCTGGATATTTATTCCAACAAGCAGCTACAGAAACAGTTCCCTATAAGAAAAAGGCATCTCTTTGGAATCATAAAGGTGATATTAATTTGGTAATGATTAAAGGAGTTGAATAGGTTTGTGTTACAACTATTTTATCTTTTGTTGTTGGTTTTTGGTATTGTGTTCTTCACTTTCTCATTAAACTTAATAGTTCCCCTATTTCATCACATTATAAGGGTTTATCAGTGTTGTTTTAATATTAATCATTAACATATGATGATTCCACCCCCTTTCTAATAAATATCTATCATCTATCTTCAGTGTCTCAGTTGAGCTGAAAACCAGACATACAATGCATACACAAAAAAAGCATTATCAGTTATGTAACCATTTTCCTGTGGGCCCACAGATTTTGAGTTGTCTGTTCAGGCTAGCATCATATATTTTTTATAAGGAAGAGTTATTCTAAAATAATGAGAAATCCCCCCCAAATAACCACGTAGGAGTGAATGCTATTAAAAATAATTTGTTACATGGTAGAGGTGGGGGGGGGGAGATTTTGGGGGGGGGAAGAATAAACTAGCTCCATGTGGGTTTTAGCATGCAGAAGAAAAAGTAGGCACATATTCTTTCATTGACAAAAGCCACTGTGCTAGAAGCAATCCAATGCTACTTGTATGGGAGGCCATTTAAAAAACTCCCAAACAAGCATGAATTTGAAAAAAAAAATGGGATCAAAGTTGCAAATTATTCAGGTAGCATAGCTTTTTCTGGAAGGAATTATTAACCAAAATTTAAGTCGTATCCTCCTTTTCCCTAGGAATTGGTTATTTTTATTTTTGAGGTATCTCTTACATCTCTATTCTTGGCTCATTCCCATTAACACCAGCATAATGTAAAATGAGAAACAGAATCAAGTAAATTACAGGCAATTTTGGAAATAGCCTACGGTAGATTCCTCCTGCTGTCTTTTCACCACAAACTCCCCATTGTGATGATGAGTATAAAGAAAGCAAAATAACTCAGTTAAATTCGCTCTTGTAGGAGAAATCACCCTAGTCACATTGACTGTTGGAAATGATCCTAGTCACATTGACTGTTGGAAATCTCTGTTAGAACTTAGGAGAAATGTTCCTGGGGAGCAAGGCAGTTTAGAAAGAGCATTTGAGTTGCTGTTAATAGAAAGGAGAAACCAAGGACTTCATCTTGAATTTCATCTGGCGCAGAGCTGGAGTCGATAGAAAATGAAAGATATGTCTTATAAATAATGGAGTGCTTGTTTTTCCTTCCCTGAAATATGATATGCAATGAGGGGGAAGGAAGGCAAAAGAAAAAAAAATCCCACTACTTATTGATATAGTTTCCATATAGGCTAATGCTTTAATTTTCCTGTTGTTCATGTGCGGGAATAGTAGGAAGTAGGCCTTTGATTGTGAACTCATCAACTAAGGATAAGAGTCACTCAACTCAATAAGACTTATGCAATTATAAAAGGTTGCTATTGCATTCCAACAGTTATAAGGAAAATGTTACTAAGATCAGCCATACAGAGCTTCATTATGAGTTTGCTAGCCAGTTCTGGCAATGGTGGTGATGGTTGGTTTGTTTTTAACTTTGTTGGTTAATATACAACTTGCATATATCTACTCAAAATTAACATTTATCAGAACATATTTTACATGGAACTTGCAGTCTAATTTGTACATAAAAATAAACTGTCTTGTTACATTCCTTCTATGAAGAGGAAATGATGCTTAGATAAGCTCCTACTAAGTAACAATAGAAGGAAATGAACTCAGACACGGTTCCTTGTAGTAAGGCATATGGGGAAAAATTAGTATTCTTTTGAGGTTACACCCTTTTTATATGTGCACAGTGATAATCTGGGTCTCATTTAGTTCCCAAATATTCATTAGTCTCTAGGTATCTTTTTCATGAACATTTCGGCCCTGATCTTACTTTTTTTCCATCTAATGAGCAGAAAAGAAGTGATCATGTGATGGAAGAGAATAAGAACAAAGTAGACCTAGCAAAAAGCCATTTCTCAAAATCGAAGGGAAAAAAAGGGTGGAGGAGAGTGAGTCTGAGAAGAAATCAGAAAGTACATTAAGAACTAAACTTATTTAGTTTAGTTCAAAGAAGCTAGGGTTACAGATAGATATTTGTCCATAAGCATTCTTCCCGAGAACTCTGGCAATTCCAAAATGCCTCTCCCTCATCAAACAGAACATTTCAGAAATGCCAAATCTATCAGACAGCCACAGAATTAAACCAGAGGTTATTGGGTTTTCCTTCCTTTTTTAATGTATTCCTATCTGACTGAGTTCATGCTGGCTAAAATAAACCCCCTTAAGTTAGGCAAACATTATGAATTCTCTTTTCTTTCTTTTTCTTTCTTTCTTTCTTTCTTTCTTTCTTTCTTTCTTTCTTTCTTTCTTTCTTTCTTTCTTTCTTTCTTTCTTTTTCTTTCTTTCTTTCTTTCTTTTCTTTTCTTTTCTTTTCTTTTCTTTTCTTTTCTTTTCTTTCTTTCTTTGCAATTTTCCATTCTCCAGACATTCTTTTGGGAGCATAATCCTATTGAAGTAAACAGGGAGAAGCCCATTGCCTGCAGTAGAAGTTATTTCAGGTCCTTCTTGCATAATCATTGGGTGGGGGGAAATAATATGATGAAATTGGTTTTTACTAGGTACATCTTTGCTGGGTTCTTGTATTTTATATAAATAAGGACTTCACCAATATTGTAGAGGCATTACGTAAGAGCAAACATTCTATTATTGTTGTTTAATTAAATGGAATTCATTTCATTCTTGACATGAAGTCACTGCTTGTTTCCATTCTCAGGTACAGAAAGGAAAGGTTTTAAAGGCACATTGGAGTCATTTGTATGCAATGATACCATAAGCAGCTTATCTTGTCTTTGGATCCCCTCATTGCTGTTAGACACCATAGGTTTTTTTTTCCAACTCCGTGCATAAACTTGGTATGTTATATTATCTGTGTTCTATTTTTAGTGTGCATGGATACTTGGTTACAGTTAAGGAGCATTAATTAGCTATTGCTGACACATGTTCTCTACTTCCAAGAGATTACAGAACAGAAATTGTTTGAAACAAAAGGAAAAGTCAAGGTAGACTTGTTATGAGATTCCCAAATGAAAGCTTGGAAAGGTTCTTGAATTAAAGACAGTTCTGGCCATCAGTAATGACTAGTGCAGCTGTCCCCTTCTTGTGGCAAATGGAGAAGGCTGCTGAATAGGTAGGCTCTACCAATACAGTGTGGATCCACTGACACAAAACTAATCAGTAGAGAAAAGATCTTTTAGTTCTAATTCATGTGGTTTAAAAACAAAGCATCCAATTTAAAATATTGTGTCATGGGGTTTTTGCATATTGACTTTTTAAACCTTAGAAGTCAAAGAAAGAGAAGAATCTTCCAAGAGGATCTCTGTATTGCTCCTAACTTAGTGGACATGATCAAAGTGTAAGCTTCAAAGAATGAATCATTCTTTAAACTGTTGTAGCTACAAGCACAGGCATAGATAGCCAACTCTCCTCCCCAAAAAAGAAAAGAAAAAGAAAACTGTGCTAAAAATATTTAGGAGGAGCCATTTAGATTAGGAACAATCAACCTAGTCTAACAAGAGTTTCAAAGAACTCTTTTTCCCCCCTAATCCTCTTCCTGAGCACTAAAATGCAGACACAGATCATGCCAACTTTGCAGAACAAATTCATAAACATCATGCAGAACTAAATGGTCTGGAGGGAGAGAGAGAAAAGAAGGAAGAACGAGAGGAGAATAGGGATCTTACCTTCCTGACCCCATTAAAGCCGTATTCTGCAGCAAGTTGCTTGGCTTCTGCTTCTCCCGCTTTGTGAAACTCCACGAAAAAATGATTGGTATAGACGGCCCTTTGAGATGCAGAGGCAAAGCGAAGGAACCCCAGTAAAAAGAGGCCAGCTGTCTTGCAGCATGGAACAGTGCCTGTCTTCATGGCTTTTTCGGACAGGGAGTGCAAGGCAATATTCGTGGGCTCAGTAACGGGAATAAAAAGCTAAGCAAAGGATAATATGGATACTCTAAGGGGACCGGTCAGCGGGCTGGCTGCAGACAACCAATTAAGCGGTGCTCTGCTTTAGTATCTCACAGTCTCGAGGAGAGGGGGAAATCCGAGGGGCTGGCTGCTCGTGGAATTATTCCGATGGGTGCGTGTGCGTGTGTGCGTGTGATGCCAGATCTGCATTTTTCAGCTCCTCCTCGTCTATAATACAGCGCGACGGCGAAAAGAAAGCCAAGTGAGGCCGCAGGGCTGCCAATCACTTGGAGGCGCCCTCTTCAGCCGGCTGGCGAAAGGCTTGCGCGGAGCAGAGGCAAGCCTTGGCCGCGCGGAACGGATTCAGCACCCTGGAGAATTCCTCCTTTTTCTCGAAGGCAGAGAACAAGCCCCGGGGAGGGGGAGGAGGGGGGGGGCAAAGAGAGAGCTCCGCTCCTCCAATCCGCGGTCGAGTTCTCTTGATTTTGTGGAACTCGAGGCAAGGCTGAGCTGAGAGGCGAGACGCCCGGGTCCGTCCACATCCCCTGGGAATGCCCTCGGCCCCACGATCACTATCACATTCCTCCAAGGATTCCTACTCTCGAAATCACATGGTCTCTGAGCTCCCCCCGCTTAGGTTTGTTTGAAATTCGCTTCTGTGAGCGGCTTTCGTCCCTTTTCAGAAGGGTAGGCTGCTCTCGCAGTTCGCCGGCAGCAGGGTTACAAATAAAAACATAAGACGAATCGTCATTTATTGCTGCCATTTGAAAGTCGCCTTAGCGTTTGTAAATTTAAAACAAAACAAAAACAAAAAAACCCACGGGGAAAACAATTGTTCGTTGGTCTGTTAAACCAGGACTTGAAAAAGAGCCAGCACATTTTTACTTTTTACTCATCGCAAAGGTACTTTGAATGCATAAAGCAGTTGATGCTTTGATTCTCCCTCTCACTCACTAGAATGTAAGGATGTAGGAAATTTAAGAAGCTATCTGAGTCAGACTAGTGGGTGGAAGGGGAATTCCTTGGAATTGAGAATTGGCTAACTTTTTTTTAAAAAAATCTGCTTTTATTGTTATTCTTTTTGGTTTGGTTTGGATTGGATTGGATTGGGGTTTTTGGTAGAAACTTAGTCTGGGCTTTTCTCAGATACACTGTTGAATATCTTACCTAAGGTTTTCTGTCTGGCTCTCTCTCCACCTATGATCTGCAGCCATTTGATTAGTGAATTGAAAGATGGAGAACTGACTAGACTTCTCTCCTCCTCCTCCTCCTTCTGTCAGATAAGTTTCAGATAATGTTGACCTCTACCAAGTGCTTGAGATCTGTAACTGAGACCAGAAGATGGTTCAGCAATCCCTGGATCAAATCCCATCATTAGGTGGGCTTCAGGGTTTGCTAGAGATTGCTGTGGGAAACAATGAAGATTCTCTATGACCTGTGGTGATTCTTTTCTGTTGAATGACAAGGCTGTGTACTGGGTGTTTCACACGTGATGGAAACTCCTTAAATTAGTCTGCTATGTGGCAAATATTGTCCTAGTGTCTCGGAGACATTCAACTCCCGTGTTGTCATTAAGTTCTGCATGCACAATTGGACGGGCGGAGCACGAGACTGGAGCTTTCCCGAGCAGCTTATCACAGGCATTGAAAGGTCTATTTTAAAAATGCTTATTCCACAGCAAGCTTTTCAGTAGATGATTTCCCAAGATCAATTTAATCGATTTAATAGTGTCATCCAAAATGGAGAAATGAGTCCAGGTCCAATTTATTTTCACAGTTTTGAATTTTAAATGCATCCAAAACGTTTATTGTTTCTCCTACTGCTTAGCCAAAATGACTTCCATGGCAGCTTACAAATATCAGGATCATTTGAAAGATCCTGTCTTCCGGTTTCTAAATTAAAAGATGTGACCAGCTCAGGAGCACATCCTGCCTCTCTCAAGTTTCCTAACTAGTCAACAATTTGCAACTGAGTAGCATAAAAATCAGGCTTAAGATTCATGGATGAAACCATGTGATTGTCAGAGAAAAGTCAGTCTAAAAATACCTAAAAAGCCAAATGCACACATTGATGGCAGGTTTGATACTTATCAAATATTAAAATATTGGTAAGTATCACAACAGCCACACAAAAATGAGACCAGGAATTTCTAGTTTAATTACTGACAACTTTGTGAATAATTTGTCCTTAGTTAAATAAAAATGTACATCTTTCTACAATTTATTTCAATGTGAAATAACTGTAATATATTGCTGTTAAAATACTTGCAGACAGCTCTCTTCAGCATCATGGATGTAGGAATGTAAAGAGTTATATATCCAACACTGAATTAAAAAACAATATTGACACATTAAAGCTGTCTCTCTCCCTCCTTCCCTCCGTCCCTCTGCCCCCCTCTCTTTCTCTCTCCCCTCTCTGTCTTTCTCTCTCTCACACACACACACACACAAACAGTGTTACATGCACAAGTCCACACTCTCTCAAGTTAGCCTACCTCTCAGGAATATGGTGGAAAAGTTGGAAAAGGCAGTTCCATGTACATTGTCTGTTGCTCCCAGAGGAAAGATGCCAATAAATAAAGGTATCCATTTTTATACAGATATACACAACAGCCAAATATGCAGACTGTAAAATAAGCTTTTCTTGATATTACTAAGTGCAGTTAACACTTCACTTTTCTTCTCCTCTTTTCTCCACTTCTCTTGGATAAGAACACTCTAATTAAGCAAAACAGGGAAGGTAGCATTGTACTCCTTATGCAGCTCATCAGGCCTCAAAATATTATACATGTCCAACTAGACTCAATGGAATTTGTGAGACAGATTTCGCTTGGCAATCTCTTTTAGTCTGTAAAGTCCAGCTGCAAAGAGATGCAAACTCCACTGAAAAGAAGTATTTTTTGGGCCTTCTTACTGATGTTTCACATGGGCAGAAAGACTATTCCAGGTCAATTGAACTCAAGAACCATTCTAAATCACCACGATCATATCATCATTGTTCTCCAAAAAAATCAAAATTATGATACTTGATATTTTCTTCATGTGCAAACCTCCAGTCTTGCAAATGTAATACTATTTTCTGCTCCAGAATGTCTGTCAGTTCCATTTTCCTTTTGCTTCTCTCCTCTAGTCAGATGAAAGGACTTTAAAAAATGAAGAAGGAAAATAAAGATGCTGCAGCAATCAAAGCTAGTAGATAGAGACTGGGGTTGGCTTGAGGCAATGCATGGTGTTTGGAGTCTGTGCTGCTATCAGAATTTCAATGGAAGGAAAGGAATGGACACAATCCAGGTTTTCATGGGGATTGGATCAATTATGAAAAAAGCTACCTTTTAACCAGTTGTAAAAATAGAATGAGATGTTTAAAAATGTAGCAATTATATTTCTCTTAAAATAGTTATTTTTAGTCTTTTTTATATTTTGTCTGAAAATTCTTGAACTAGTTAATTGGCAGTCATTCATACATAGTTCCAATTTTAACCCCCACCCTCAAAAAAACACATCCTTCTGTAAGACTTGGTTTCTTTTCCATCACTTGACTAGTATTTCTAATTTTGATGCCTCTAAATAAGATTTTTGTTTGGAGATCAGAGGTCCTTCATCCTTGTTTTGTATAGAAATGCTTAATTTTGTAGGGTGGATGTCAATTTTCTCTCTTTGAATTAAAGACATCCATTTCTGTGAAATAACTTTTGAAGTAGATCCTAGAATTTGTAGAAAGCATGTCATCAAAAGAAGGCACAAATTACTCTAGAGGTTTGTCTAGCAAAAATGGTTAGATTTACTATAGTTGTCAAAAAAGCATGTGAGTGCAGATGTATGGGAGAGAATGTATATCCTATAGATCAATTTATTATGTCAACAATACTAAAAGCAAAAATAAGAAAACCCTAACAAATAAAAGCTCACTTCCTCATAGATTCTCACTACCATGTAAATAATTCCTCATTGGTTTTTAGGTATATGTACTGTTAAGGAAATTGAGAAAAGGCTGCCTTGCAAGAGAAATGCAGGGATGTCAAACTTGATTTCATTGACGGCCACATCAGGGTTGTGTTTGACCTTGGGGGGTGAGGGCATGGTTGGGGTGGGCATGATTAGCATGTAGCTGTCCTGAGCTCTGTTTTCGGCTACCACAGCCTCCTCCAGCCCTGGGCTGGGCCGTGGCACTGCAGGGCTGATCCTTCGTTGTTTTCAGAATGGCCCCAAGGGCCAGATCTAAGCACCCTGCAGGCCGGATGTGGCCTGGAGGCCTTAGGTTTGACACCCCTGGGCTACACTAAGCTTCATAAATGCATGGGAATAACTATGCTTTTTTCTCTCATTCCAATGTTTTCTCTAGAGCAGTGATCCTCAACCTTTCTTATGCCGCGGCCCGGTATCCCCAACCTTTTTTATGGCGCGGCCCGGTACCGGCATTAGCTGGGCACCGCCATTTTTTTTTTATGAAAAAGTGCTTCCGGTGACCTCACAGGAAGCACTTTTTCATCAAAAAAAGATGGCGGCGCCAGCGCTTCCGGTGAGCTTTTCCGGGTAGAAATGGCTTTCTACCCGGAAAAGCTCACCGAAAGCGCTGGCGCCGCCATCTTTTTTTGATGAAAAAGTGCTTCCGGTGAGCTTTCTACCCGGAAAAGCTCACCGGAAGCACTTTTTCATCAAGAAAAGATGGCGGCGCCCAGCAAACCAGCAGCCCGGTAGGACTTGTTCCACGGACCGGTACCGGTCCGCGGACCGGTGGTTGGGGACCCCTGCTCTAGAGGAAGCTGGAGTAGTGGATTCCTGCAGGGAGCAGAGGATTCATCATTTGATCTGCAAGATCCTTTCCAACTTTGCCTTCTATGATTACATGAAATAATCTCTACTAAAGAAGCAGATACTTTCTCAAGGTTTTTCCAAAGAAATCCAGATCTTTGGAAAATGGAACAGAAAGCAGTTTTGTAATCTGTTTGTCACAAACAAATCTAGCTGGGAAATACAAAACCAAAATAACCCTGGTAGGTTTTCCATAATGCATTTAAACTATGAGCACACAGCTTAATCCATCTTGCAGAAAACCAAGTGGAAATAATGGGTGTTAAAGATAGATTGAGCTACTCAATTTTCTCTGAAATGCTTGTTTGGAAAAATAATGGCATAGTAGTTACCAAATTCGTGGAAAGAAGCTGGGGCTGATTTTTTTTCTAATAATTCAAAGTCTTTTCTACTGGATCTGTTTTCT